CTCACCAAACAACTGAACATTCTGGGACAATGCAAATCGAAATGTTTTCCCATGGAAATATGCAGCAATGGAAGCTATACAGTGAAAGTAAAAATAAATCTGACTCGACTTATGCTACCATTATAAGTTATCAGAAAAGATATGCTATGCTTTTCAACTTGGTCGATAAATGGATAAATGGAGCTGACCCGGCAAACGTCGTCTTGCTTTATAATTGTTAGTCCCTTAACCATAACATGGAGGGCATATTAAGATTGTCATTCTGATGGTAATTCATGGGAACAATCATTTTAGATCCAACAAGGCATACACTCATGATCTGCTGAATTTAGCCATGTTCGCCCGTCGCTGCCATGTCATAAGTCCACACGGTATTTTAGCATTTCGACGACTTTCGGCACAAGTTGCCTGGAATTTGGTATGTGAGGGTTGTTACGGATTGATACCACCAAATTTTCGATATTCTGATGGCTTTCGCAATATTTTCAACGAAATTATCTGAAATTTTGTATTTGCGGTTTCTAATGGGTGTCTGTCTATCTGCCTTACAAAAATTTTGTTGATACAGGTCTTTTTTTTTTTGACTTTATGTATATTGTAGAGGAGGCATGGCCGAAATTCCTACCTTATTTTTGTAAGTAAAATATTTATTGTATTACAACAAGGTAGATTTTTTGTTCACCTTTTCCCTCACGGTCAAAGTAGTCAACTTTTGTCGCCATGCTCAAAGGAATCATTTTGTCTCTCTAATATCTGGCAAACCTTTTAGAATTTTTATTTTCTCTCTAAGACAAAGCTTTTGTCGTACAGAATAAAAATAGTAAATACATAAAATCAATGAAACTTCACGTTCAAGTTCAAAAGTGTTTGGAGTTCTGTTCTATAGATATGAAACCGTTAAAGTTTTAATCAAAATGACCAACAACGAATTCTTGCCTGAGATCTCAATTACCACCTTTCTCGAGCATTTGAACTTTGTAGGAACAGTTCTCTATGGCAAGAGAATATAATAGCAAAAAATCTATACAAATTTCACTTTAAAATCGATTGTGGCACGTGCAGTATAGTGCAGTTACAGCGTCCTGTTGGAACCACATGTTTGCCAATCCTAACGCATCAAGTTGCGGCAAAAAGAACTCGTTGATCATGGATTTGTTGTGCTGACCATTTGACCCGTGACGTCTTCGAAGGAGGTCCGATGACTCCTCCAGCGAAAACAGCACTCTATACAGTGACTTTAAGCGGGTGTAATGGCTCTTCGTGGTTTACACGCGGATTTTCAGTGCCCCAGAAGCGTAAATTTTTCTTATTTACGCATCAGCTAAGATGGAAATAGGCCTCACCACTCATGATTATTTCTGATGAAAAACGATAAGGGTGGCTTGAGCGTGTAACTCCTCGAAATACTCACGTCAGACCCAACAAAGTATATATATTCTTGATCAGCGTAAAATTCTAAGACGATTTAGCCATGTCCGTCTGTCTGTCTGTGTGTCTGTCTGTCTGTCCGTCTGTCTGTCTGTTGTAATCACGCTATCTTTCGAACAAATTGAGATAGAAGGCTAAAATTTTGCACACATGTATATTTTGCCAGTAGGCAGGTTAAGTTCGTAAATGGGTCATGTAGGTCCAAGTTTTCATATAGCCCCCATATAACGGTACCTCTCGATATTCGGTATTTTGATGATTTTAGCGACATTATTCACCGGAATTGTTTCAAATTTGGCATTTGAAGTTCGTAATGGATACTACAGCCTAAGACAGAAAATATCTGTGCAGGTCCACTTCTTTGTATAGCCCCCATATAACGGTACCCCCCGATATTCGGTATTTTGATGATTTTAGCGACATTATTTAACGGAACCGTACCAAATTTGGTATTTGAATTTCGTAATAGATACTGCAGCAGAAAACAGAAAATGGGCCATGTAGGTCCACGTCTTCGTATAGCCCCCATATACCGTACCCCCCGATATTCGGTATTTTGATGATTTTAGCGACATTATTTACCGGGATTGTTTTAAATTTCGCATTTGAAGTTCGTAATGGGTACTTCAGCCCATGCCAGAAAATTGTCTGTGCAAGTCCACGTCTTCGTATAGCCCCCATATAACGGTACCCCCTATATTCGGTATTTTGATGATTTTAGCTACATTATAAACAAATTTTTCTTCAAGTTTCGCATTTAAATGTTGTAATAACTTATGACAAAAGTTGCCTATGCAGGTATACGTCGTCGTATAGACATTCGGTATTTTTAAGATTTTAACAGAATTTTTAAAGGATTTATTTTATTTATTTATTTATTTATTTATTTATTTATTTTTTTTTTTTTTTTGGAAATTGCCAAATTTGTACCAAATGGTGGAGGGTGCTAAAAGATCGGCCTGGCCGAACTTACAGCTTTTTTACTTGTTGATGTTGTTCAACTGTCACAGGGTAATATTCACAACTTTGAGGAGATACATGGATATATTTGGTCTAAATACGATTATATTATTGTTGTGGGCGACTTTTATTGTTACTTGTTCGGCATTTCCAATTCGTCTAAACATGAGGAATGTTTGTATCCGTCTTCGTATATCTGTTACCCATAACTCGTTGCCTAGCCAAGTTAGTATTGCTACAGCATCCGTTTTTCTAATTGATTTGTTGCCTACAGTAACCTCTGCTCTTTTATCTCCTCTTATGAAGTCCAATTTCCTTTATCACTAATATAAACCGGAACCATAATGATATTAATTGGGACGGTCTGTTTGTTTAGTTCTATAGTAGTTTTTATAGCAACTCTGATATTAATTTACAGCTTTCATTTCTCCATTTGCCAATTGCTAATCTGTTTAAATTTGTTCTTATCGTTAGAAAACGTGTGATACATTTAATGGATCCGTGGTTGAAAAGTAATTCTGTAATATTGGCAAGTTTTTTGCGTGATATGGCATACAAAAATTATTTAAAATTTACTACGCAGCTAAATAAGGTGGTGTATCGGACTCTTAGGAATAAAGCAAGTCTATTCTTAGAAAGGAGCGTAAAAATATTATGAAAAACTTTTCAATGGAATAGACGCTACTCATGCCTGGAGACAACTTCATGCCAGTGGTATCACTGACTTTGATGTTTTGAATGAATATTTTACTAAAACAATAGTCTGGGTAATGTTACTGTTGATTTACCAGATATTGATAGACAATGTCATACATTTTCATTTAGTTGTGTTTCCGAGACAGACAGATGTTTTAGAAGCATTTAAAAGGTCAAATGGACATCTGTAGGTATTGATAGAGTACCTATTAAGATTTGAAAATTAATTTGTCCATATATATCTAGACATTTCAACTTTATTTGTAATACCATATTTACAACATCGACCTTTCCGCATGACTTGAAGATTGCTAGGGGTTTCCCCATTTTCAAAACTAAAGGAATGAACCCTATTGAGAATTTGAGACCTATTAGTATACTGCCGCGGAATTCTAAAGTTGCAAAACATCTCATAAGGCTCCAGATTCAATCAATTATATATTACCGTAAATTTTTGAATAATTATAAAATAGGATTTAGGTGTGGTCTCAGCACTACTTGACTTTTAGTAGACTTAACCGACCTGATGGAGGTGATAGTGGCATTGTTTTTGCGCTGGATATTTCCAAAGCATTCGATAGTGTGGATCATTCAAGGCTGATAGAGAAATTGTTCACTTTATATACATTTGACAGTAATTCCTGTCTGTCCGTCTGTCTATCCGTCTGTCTGTTGCCCATATTATTCGACGTAGACCATAAAAATTTAGCAGAACAATTTGTAATGTGTCTACGATTGTTGGTATTAAAAATTAGATGTATCGGTCACGTCTTGGTATAGTCTCCATATATCTGTAGCTCCCGATATTCGGTATTTTGAGGATTTTTGCCACATTTTTTCACGGATTTGTCTAAAAATTGCTATTTTTGGGTCATAATGGGTTTTAATGATTCCTTTACTCTAAGGTGGAGGGTATTAAAAATTCGGCCCGGTCGAAATTAATGTTTTTTTACTTGTTGTTATACATATATGTCGATGACATTAGTAGCTTCCTATCTATAATTGCGGTTGTCATCCGTTTATGTACGCGGACGATATTCGATGGACAATCAAACTTTCAATTGGAGAATAGCATAAATACAACATTAGGTTATATTTCACGTTGATTGAGTAATAATAGCCTGGTAGTAAATGTTTCTAAATCAAAAGTAATGACATTTGGTCTACTTGGCAGACTGAATATCACTGTTAATACACAGGTTAATGGTGTAGCAGTGCATTTTGTTGACCGTATAAATTATCCAGGTGTTGTCCTTGTTTATAAGGTTGATTTTTCTTTGCATATTTATGCATTATACCCCAAAGTTATAAATGTGCTTCGAAAATTATACTCAACTGATTTCTTTTTGGCCTTCTTTGTAAAAAGAAATCTTGCCTTTTCTTATTCCCTATTGTATTGAAGTGATTACGGGTACAACACATGAGTATTTTACGAAAATAGAAACATTTGTTAACATTTACTTTTAACATTATGTTTATAATTTGCGTCGTTTTGACCATATTTCTGCGGGGTGCCATTCTAATTCTCTTTCTAGGATTGCCATTCTCTGTTGCGCTTTTCCAGCGATATCGACTTGTGTTCTCTCGGTCTACAAGGAAAACGCAAATAATTTTTCCACATCTCTATATGAATGATCTTTCGGTGCCCGGACTTTACGCCAATGGACTTATGACCTCCCTCAAAACGGTCATAATACCCATTTTTATTTTGGGTCTTATGACCTCCCTCGAAACGGCCAAAACGCCCATTGGGCCTTATGTCATTTTATTAATATACAAAAAAAATAATAAAACTGAAGAAGATTCTTAGTTATGGTCTTAATTCCAATTTAAGTATAATTCAGTTATGTACATTAAAAAAAAAAAATAAAAAAAAAAAAAAAACATTTATATGATTTTATTTCCATTTTGGCGAGAAATCAAGTGTATATCTCTTCCACAGCTTCCACGATTTGTCTGCAAAATGGACATAACGTAAGTGTAGATCTTTGGTTATGAACCTTTTGAATTTCATGGAAACAAAATCGACAAAGTTTGGCGTGTCTACAGGGTTTCATAAGAGTGTTCTTCTTATTTTTGAAGCAAATTTCGCATGAAACTCCCTCTGGAGGAGAAGTTTCAGGTTCGGACTCAGATGAAGAATAATTATTATCGTCTATTATGGAATGCATTGACGTTGGTGGCAAAATGTTTTTGTTTTATTAGTCAGTATGTTCAGAAAGGTATTTGGAGAAATTTCGCCAAGATTAAGCTTTTCAGTTAATTTTTTTATTTGTGTGCTTCGATCTCGGAATCGTTTCTTAGGCCTTTCAAAAATGTCGAAAATTCCATCCAGCGCTTGGTCTAACTCAGTATATTTTTGGAATTCTTCCTGTTTAATAACTTGCAAGAAATTCCAGAAGCTTCCATGCATAGGAATTTGTGAACTCAAATAGCTGTTGTAACCTTCAACAGCACTGGTCGTCCTTACACATTCGTTATGGACAGAAAACATTGCAGGAGTTTCCTGTAAAAAGAAAAATATAAGGCGATTGGGTATTTTCTATTAATATAACATTTACCATTTGAATCCATTGACGGTCAAAATAATCAAAGAATTGTTGGAATACGTTTTCGAATTTGCTATAGAGCTCAGCCCTTTCAATCGAACTTCAGGAAAAACTTTTGTAAGAGAATTACGAAGTTCTTTTTCAAAATCGGTTATAAACGTCTTAGGCTTTAGCTCTAAAAGATTTGAGTTTATGAACCTGAATACGTGTTCGTATGATTTTTGACTTTTTTTCGTCATAAGAATAAATGCAACGGGAAACAGCTAGAAAACACACAAAAATAAACAAATATGAAATATTATGATTACCTTATTTTAAAAATAAACTATTGACTTAACTATAAAAATAATGGAACTCATTAAATTGTGTGAAAGGAGAGAATAGAAGACAAGTAGTTAAATTTAAAAAAAATCGCGCGATTTAAATACACTTTTTAATTGAAAGGTATTCATTTCAGATTCTTGATTTGGATGATCACTGTGGATAGCTTTATCACTGTTTTCGAAGCACTGTTCTTTATTAATTAACATAATTGAAGCGTTACAATTTTTTTGATAACAAACATATCTGCGAACTTCTTCATTTTTCTTATTTTCATATTGAGTTTTGAATTTATAAAGTTGTTTGTTACATGTTGTATACAACAATTCACAATTTCGTCGCGCACCAGGGACAAATTTAAACTCACTTATTTGGTTCATCTTCCTCAATGGTTTAAAAAAGTCTGTGACTTACCATTAGTCAAAGCAATAACTATAACTTACAATCATATCAAACAAAAAAAAAAAAAATAAAAAATAAATAAATAACTGTTCTTACCTTACATAAAAACATATTAAATAAACAAATTTTAAAAAATTTGATACGAAAAAGCATCAAATAAAATTGGGCTTTATGGCCGCTTTGGGGGAGGTCATAACGCCCAAAAATTTTGGGTTTTAACTCCACCTCTTTGTTGGGCGTTATGTCCGTTTCGAGGGAGGTCTTAAGGTCCAAAATTTTTTTTGGGCCTTGTGACCGTTTTGAAGGATGTCATAAAGCCCAAATTTTTTTTGGGCCTTAAGTTCATGGGCATAAAGTCCGGGCACCTGATCTTTCATAGTTCATTCCGCAGGAAACTGGAATCAGCTTCCAGCTGAGCTAAGTTTTCCTGCGATGTATTTCTCCGAAAGTTTTAAAACTTCCCAGAGACAAATGGAGGTTAAAGATTTGTTTGTTAATAGTATTTGACGATAATGCATTGTTTGTTCAATGTTGTTTTCTATTACCAGCAGTAGAGACATAAATAAGATTCAGGCAAAATCGGAATTGTCTCTTGAATTTTGAAATGTACAATTGGAATGTTTTATACTGCATGATTTTTTCTATTTTGACTTACTATTTTCGAATGTACATTCTTTTTGAAATCTAATATGATCTGTAGACTTTTTGGGGCGACAATGGACAAAACTGTTATTTACAGATTTTATGTATTTATTGGTAAAGTGGAGCTATACGAATATCATTTCATAATTTGATAAATTTTATTGAATTGACTAGAATTTTTGGAAACTGAAATTGAAGGCGAGTTACACTGAAGTTTACTACCGGATTAAGTGCTGCTGAAACCGAAAGATGATGTGGAAATAGTTTAACGCGGTCATACCAAACTTAAAGGACAATTAATTTTTTAATTTCCCTAAAAAATCACGACCAAAAAGGGACTATCCCTTTGCAAAAATTCCTAAATCGGGTAAAAAAATCGAGAAAAAAATTTCAATGGAATCGAATTTTGAAATAATAGTACATTCTATTTACAACCTTCGTAAGGACCTTCAAACCCTTGCTATAAAAAGAAATGGCGAACAAGTTGAAAACTTTTGTTGTTTTTTTTTTTCAATGTGTTTTTCTTTGTTTTATGTATTGTACGATTTTTTCTCAATTTGGCTTATCATATTGCATTCAATCGTTTTTATTTTCATTATATAAAGGAATGTTATGTTAGTTGCTACGCTTATAACTCAAGAACGACTTGAAGGATTTTGACAATTCATACAATTTCTGAATGGTATCTGCGCAAAACAAAAAATCACGTAAAAATATGCCAATAAAAATGTGAATGAAAAAAATATTTTTGGCGTAAATATTTTTTAATTTGACATGCTCTATTGAATTCTACATTTTTATTGTTCAATTAATAATATTAAAAATGAAATGAGTGCGCAATATGGTGTTACATGGTCTTTCTTTCATGTCAAATTTGGCATCTAGCTTTGAACTCCAGGACCTACATCGTGCTTCAGCTGGAAAATGCAAAATTCATTGGGATTGTAATCTGTGAAATACCAAATGGAATAGGTTGCAAAAATATTAGAGCGAATTAGACATTTAGTAAGAAAAGGATTTATATCCTTCCAGAAATTCTTCCGTATAAGGACACAACCCGATTTCAAGTATATTTTACATGTTAACCATGTGTTTCTTTCTAATTTCGGCAAATGTTGATACTTTGAGAAGAAACCGTACTTGCTTTGTTTCTAAGGAGGTCGAAAACCTCTTCTCATTAAATTTTCAATTTCCGAAGTAGGATCCATTATGATCCTGACCATATTCATCAATTGATTTGGCTAAAAATTATCTTTAGGCTATTCTGGGGTAGAGAACCATCTTACAGATAATTGTCCAAATAGGCATTTATTTAAGTATAGTCCCCACATCAGTGTACCCGAAAGTCCATTTTCCCAATTAATGTGTGGTCAGAAAAGAAAATGTTGTATTCTACTGAATTTGTAACCCGCAATAGATTATTTGTTGGGAACATAGATTTTGGATTTACGTCTACATGAAATAAACTCCGAAATGTCAAACTGGGACTCAGTCAGTCGAAAATTATGTCTGAAATATGACGGCCATAACATTACGGTAATGGGTGTAAAAGAGTAATTATCTTCGACTATTCTGAAATCATTCTGCCCTCAATTTCGAGGAGGACAAAACTAAATGTCACGCAGCATATTATACTAAAATTTAAAATACAAGCTCTTTAAAATACCAAAAAGTAAAGATGCAGCTAAGTAAGTACCCTCCAACATTTCGAAGGAAATTGAAAAATTTCAAAAAAAAAAAAAAAACCGAAAACTATCACTTAAATGAAAACCTTAAAACCTTTATATGGGGACTATACAAAGACGTGGACCTGCATACGAAATTTTTTGTAATAGGCTGTAGTGTCCATTACGAACTTCAAATACGAAATCTGTTACAATTACGGTGAATAATGTCGCAAAAATCATGAAAATACGGACTATCGGGAGGTACCGTTATATGGGGTATATACAAAAATGTGGATCTGCACACAAATTTTTTCTCAGAAGTTGTAGTACCCATTAAGATCTTTCAATACGAAATTTGAACCAATTCCTGTGAATAATGTTGCTGAAATCATCAAAATGCCGACTACCGGGAGGTACCGTTATATGGGGGCTATACGAAATGTGGACAGACATGGCCCATTTACGAACCAAACCTGCCTACCGGTTAACTATGCATGTATCCACGATTTTAGCCTCCTCAATTCGTTCGAAAGATAGAGTGATTAAAACAGACAGACGGACAGACAGACAAACAGAAAGACGGACATCGAAAATTGTCTTAGAATTTTAAGCTGATCCAGAATATATGTACTTTGTAGGGTCTATTATGAATATTTTGAGGAGCTACAAACGGAATGACAAAGTTAATATACCCTCCATTGAATGGTGGAGGGTATAAAAATTGAGCTGAGTTTTCACATGGGGCTATTGTAGATGTTCTATATCATATAGGTTTTTGACACTGAAATTAAAGCCTATGAGTGAAAAATAAGATCAGGCTATTAAAAATATTTAAAACCGACTGTAGGTAAACATCTATATATATAAAAAACAATTGTTGTTCGTTGGTAATGGAATCAGTTGAGAACGGCTTAACCGAATTGCATAATTTTTTGTACAAACGTTCGTCATATCCCGGGTTAGGTTTTTAAATATTGACCATGTCTACTTTTACGCCCACTATTTCGATCTATCTAAAATCCTTATATTTACCAAATAATAAAGATATCGGCTTGAAAATTATTACACAAGATACTGTTGACTTTCCATCCGGTCCTAGGTATTTATTTGGGCGCTGAGGACCTGGCCACGCCTACTTTTTAATCTATATATATATATATATATATATATATATATATATATATATATATATATATATATATATATATATATATATATATATATATATATATCTATATATATAAATGTAAGTTGTGTTAGTTACTACGCTTATAACTTAAGAACCGCTGGACTGATTTTAACGATTCACACAAATTCGGAATTGTCTCCTCTCCGAAAAGGATAATATCCAATAAAATCGCGTAAAAATGTGATATATTAAAATTTTTATTTTGACTTTTGAAATGTACAATAGCAATGTTTTATTTTGATTTTTTTTTCTCATTTTGACTTACTTTTTTCTAATGTACATTTGTAGTGTTTTTAATTGACTTGATTTCTTGAGAACTGAAATTGATGGCGGGTTACATGAAAGTGTAGTACCGAATTATGTGGTGGCGAAACGGAATAGATGATATCGAAATAATTTAACGCGGTCACACCAAAGTTAAAAGATAATTACTTTTTCAAAATCGCTAAAAAAAATCACGAAAAAAGAGATCTCATTGCAAAAATTCTTATATCGGGAAAAAATTGAAAAAAAATTTCAATGGAATCGAATTTTAAATTAATAGTACATTCTATTGACAAACTTTGTAAGCATCTTTAAACATTTGCTGTAAAAAATCAGCGAACAAGTTGAAGATTTTTTCAATTTGTTATTCTTTTTTAGTCAATTTTTTTTAATTGTCATTATCATATTGAATTCAGTGGATTTTTTGTGAACAAATTAAAGAATAATTTTTCACTATATACAATTTTTAACCAAAAACAAAAAAAAAAAAAAATAAAATAAGTGCGAGATAGGGCCTACATCGTGGTTCAGGTGGAAGATGCGAACACATTTAAACAAACAAAAATGACCGAAAAAGCCTAATGGGACTCATTTCAAAGCGTGGACCTACTTCTTTTATGTGACAATGATCCGTCCAATGAGAGCTCAAAATGCAATATTCTTTGGGAGAATAATCAGTAAAATACCAAATATAAAAGGTGCAAAATAGTAGAGCGAATGGGACTTTTAGTAAGAAAAGGTTTTATATCCTTCCAGAAATTCTTCCCAAACATTCAAA